TAATGATTCACACAAACACACATACAAATATGCATAAATGCATACTCAAAAGTGTAAGTGCGTGTGGACTGATGAAAAGAGGTTGGACAGGTGGCCACCCTATCCCGACGACGAGGTATCCAGATTTCACTCACGTATACAATTTGGCCTCGTAACAACCCGAAAACTGAGAGTGTCTACGACATGTTGCAAAATGCCGCGTGGACTGGCTTCTGTGAAAATGCACAAATTGCTCTCCCACCCCAACAGACCGCAGTCTGGTCTCTCGTTCACCTCCCTTTGGCAGGCTTAGCACACCCATCCAGTCACTCAACCATGAAATGATCCCCACTCACATACACACAATCATGCATACATGCACACACTGGTCAACTATCCTCTCCGCCTCTATCCCACCCTTCCTGGAGGGTAAGTTTAGCCCCAGAACCAATTCTTTACAGGCGCCTCTTGAGTTCATGTCGGCCATATTCTGGATCAGTGAAGAGAAGGCGTTTGGCATCAGATTTGTGGGCCATCTGCTTCTACCCCCTGCTCCCTCTTCCTTGCGATATCGTCGAACCCCTTTATTTTGGGCATGATACCACCAAAAGACTTGGCCATAGCACCAGGCGAAGGTGGAATCCATGCCGATAGCCGGTCAACTCGGTCAACCAGACCCGTGAGAGGGAAGACGACGACAACGACGACGACGATGACGACGACGATTTGATGAGGTACAGCTCTGAGGGAAAGGAGACAATAGTGGGCCGGATCGGAGCCACAAGTGCGGGCTGTAATGGAGACGATCGTGTCGGGGCTACAATTACAACCCGGCCTATCGGGCCAGCGGGTGAGTGGGTGGATGGAATGCCGACGTGTGCGCCGGACTGGGAGATCACGGTAACAGGATTGGAAATTAAATTGTTGCCAGAGCCTGGAGTTTAAGCAACACGTTAACAATTCACTCACTCACATCACAAGAGTGAGGTGTCCTCGTCCAGGCGGGAAGACAAGTCGCAACAGGTGGGAGTAGTCTTCTTCTTCTTGGTACTGGTAATTGTAACGGGGCTGCAATCCCGGACGGATGGGAGGAGGGGTTGGCGGCCGCAGCAACAGAGAGAGAGAGAGGAGCGACGCAACTGGGCCATGTTGCCAAGGCGATAATTTCACCTGTCCCAGCAGAGCCAAAGGGCTTCTGAAGAGTCTGCCCACTCATCGACCCTTGTCTGAATGAGCCCGTCTTCATGTACATACAAATCGAAACGACAGACCGCAAGATGGGTTGATGAGGTCAGACTCCGATTGTGCCGGCGGTGAGTGTGTCAGTTCGCCCGGCCCATCTTCGTAAAGGGATCACTGAGCTGACCTATTACTGGACAAATTGAATACAAGACTTGTTGGCGCTTTCGTCTTCAAGGCATAATCCACAAGTTCATCTTCAAGGTTGTCCGCGGAAAGTGGCCAGGCGAGCCTTAGTAGAAGAGGAACATTGAGTTGTAGAGCCGCCTAAATCCTACAAGGCATGCAAACTATGGTTGCCAGATGAGCCGGGGACGGCTTGCGTGTTGTGCCCAAACACGATGACCGCTGTTGGTGTGCGTCGTCCGAAGTGAGTCCTTCAGTGACTCCCTCTCCTCCATACCCCCCAAAGGGCAGGTTCGAACTCGCCTCCTCACCACCCCATTCGGTATTAACACTGAAGATGAGTGAGTCCAGCGACTCCAGTGCCAGTCGCGATAAAACACACGACAAGTGTGATTTCCAAATATGTAGTTACAGTAAACTGATACCTCAAAACTGTGATCGTCCGAATACCAAAAGTAAACCCAATTATTAGCAAGCTATTGACATTTGGTGACAATGGGATTTGGAATAGTCTCGTGGGTTGGCAGTGTTGTAGGGAATTTGGTCTAGTTCCAAAGTGTTTGTTGACAAGACTAATAAGTGGATCTCGTTGCTCTGCAATCCTTTGGCTTTGTTATATCCTTCAGGTTGACGCAGTAAACAGGACATCCTCCTTCAGTTCGCATGAAAATGGACTGAACTACTTTCAGCTTACAAATAAGAAGAGCTTGCTCGACTACTTATTTCACATAAACACACATATATATATTGAAAATATGTTATAAGTGAAATAATAAAGCTCGACCCATTCATTTCAAGAGAAAAGTTGGTTGGAAGAGGTTTGTGAATTGGTCTCATCGAAAACAGAAGAATTGTTTTGAAGTAGAGACTGTTCAGTTGTCTCTTTGGTTCACTGATAAATGAGGGTGACCGAAGGGGTTGCTAAGGCCTTCCTCGCTAAATTCAACTGTCTTCACACCACGGCAATTCTTATTCAATTACCAGAGAGGCCAATTCATGAATCCATTTTAACAAACTTCCCCTTTGAGATGAAATGTCGAGTCAAGAATCCTCCACATTTTTTTCATTTGTACGAAGAAAATTGATCTGGAGTCTATAAAATGTATCAAATCTTGCATCCTCCGCGATAAGAGTCATGATAATGTAGAGCTATGGAATTTGATTGACGTTGTTTTAACAACTTGCTCATAGTGGCAAAAATAGCTAGAGGAACGCGAATTCTCCTGAGTCCATAGTATGCATGATAATTTCTAGAGTCGGACCGTGGACTTGGTACGTTTCCAGACGTCTAGCTGGCAGCTTAGTCGGCATCGTCAGTGAACCTTGCCATTCTTAGTCGTGGTTTGGTACTGAGAATGGCAAGACTCACCGACGATGGGGACTAAGATGCCAGCGAGTCGTCTGGGAATGTTCCAAGTCCACGGTCCGACTCTGGAAATTATCATTCATACTATGGACTCCGCAGAAGGTGCATTCCTCTAGGTCTTCCTACCACAATGACCAAGTTGTGAAAACAAATTTAATCAAATTCTATAATAAATTACAGTTGTTGCAATGAAACTGTACTAAGCTTTCGTCTGTACTGTGGCAGACATCATCAGAGCTGGAATTCATAATTCGCGAAATAGAGCAAAATTATGCCAAGCCAATGGAAAGGGTGGCCCACTGCAACCATAGTCGCTTCTTATACAACTAACTTCGCGATCTTAATGGTATGGTAGAATGGTGAGCAGAAGAATTCTTCACACAATACAACAGTCTTCCTTACGCAGTAATCTTTCTTCGGTTTCCGATAAGACCACATTATGAAATTCTTTCAAACAATTTTACCTTAGAAGTGGAAATTTATTTCACAATATATTGCTAATGCATTCTTCGAAAACCAATTATTCTTCATATATAATGACATGATTTTCTATTTCAAAAGAAAAGTTTCCTTTTTATATTCATGAGTGTGTATAGATGCTTTAGTGATTTCGAAATTTCATTCATCTTTTTGCCTAGGCTCTTAAATATTGCTGACCTTGGACTGAGGCTACATTCTATTGTAAGTACTTGGAGCTGGGACTGGTTTAAATCCTGTGTTGGAGTGTTGCCAATACATGGACGTCCTGTCGGGTATGCGGAACCTTTTGGGAGGCAAGGCTAAGCGACATTAGATGGCGATCTAGTGGTTATGATGAGTTTGTGAACCGAGTAGGAAGGGCACGTTGTGGAAAATGTGAGTTGGTGACGAGGACAGATGAGTGGTGCACCGGAAAGCCAACAGGAGCTGAAGGTTGGGCTTGGTGCTCAGAAGGTCGGCTCCACTCTCAGCCTCGTGCGAGAAGGTCACTCAGTCGGCCGGAACGATGCCAACTTGGACCGAATTGTCACCAAATTAGCTGATCCATCATCCGAGCCGGCGGTTTTGTCACTCATCAGACATAATCTTTCCGACGACCTGAGTCGTCGAGAAGAAGCAAACCATCGTCACTGAGCCACCAAGTCAGGCAAGTCCGATTCATCGGCCGGACGGACGGACGGACGGACACAATTCCGACACCAGCCCCGATTAGGCATTTGGTTGTGAAGAGGCTGTACTCACTTTTGTTGCTTTTGTTGTTGTTGCTGTTGCTGATTTGCTGCTCCTGCCGACAGTTGCGAGGGGAGGAGATGGTGTAACCGGGGGCGGAGGATGCGGGCACCAGAACATAGGCCGATGCAACAACCTCCGTTCCGCACAGCCATACCTTTCCCGATGCTAGGCCCAAATCCCACCCCACCTTGGCTGGGCGCTTGTTACACGAGCCGATGGATCATGAGTTGGCCCAATTGAAGAGATGGTGGGGGAGGGGTAGCTGGTCTAAACACCCCCAGATCACCATAGTTGCCGTCTTCCCAATTGCTGGGTGATAGATTTAGCGACGTGGCCACTGGCAAAACGGAATAAAGACAGACGGCCGGACACGAAGCGGTCAGTAGAGCGAAGTACGGATTTCCCAGGAGCCCGGTTATGTCATTTGCCCCGCATGTATTTCCGCATAGTTGGGAGTCCGGCTCGTCTGGCCTAATCAGTATGTATTCGTATGTGTGTGTGTGTGTGCGTGTGTGTGTGTGTGAAGGAAGAGGGGTCCTTTTCAATTAAGAGAGCACACTCCCATCTCAGGCCATCGCGATGAGACAAGTGGGGCCTGCGACAGAGGCGGATGAAGATGGCGACTCGGGCTGGATGGAATTGAGTCCGTCCGAATCGCTCTGAAGGGGGGAGAATGGGAGAGTTCGTGTGCTGTTTGTGTGTCCGGCTGACGGGTTGACGGGGCCCCGGGCGTATGAGCCGGTGAGGGCCTGGCCTGGGGAGTGGGAATTTGGACGCTGGCCAAACCAGTCGACTGGTCAAGCCGAAATGGGAATGCGTGACTCGGACTTGGGGCGGTCAGCCAGGCCAGGTTGGCTACCGAACTGGCCGGCTGGCCAACTGATGAACAGATCCTCATGTAAGTATGTATGTCTGTCGGGGAGTTTTGCTCGGCTGTTTGTGTGTGTATATGTGGGAGAGAGTGATCTATGGTTAGTTGAGCGAGTGGCCGGTTCATTTGCCCAATTGACAGGGCGACAGTCTGCTTATGCAAACGCAATGACGAGCCTCGAACGCGCCTTGACCTGGTAGCACGAAGAAGAGGCTGGATTTCGAAGAATCCCTTAATAAATTTCACCTCATATGAAAAGCCCCCACCGGAAATCGAGGAGAGGAATTATGACTGGGGATTTGGGCTCACCGTCCTTTAGATCATTAACAATGAATGTAATTTTAAAATAGTGGTTTTACCCCGTTTTCGCAAATTTGTCGTGTCGTCGGGGCGACCTAAAAGCACATATCTTGTTCGTTGGCGTGATAATTTACAATGTCGGACATTCGACATTGTAGATTCACAGACGTTTCGCCGGCATTTACAGGACTTGTCTCTTTAACGAGTTGTAGTTTGGTGCTGAGACTAACAAGACGCACTGGTGACCTCGTTTTGCAATTTGATCGTGTTGTCAAGGCGACCTGGTTTGACGCACCTCGTTCTAAGTCCGTTGACGTAATAGTTATGACAATCCTTAGTGCTGGGCCTTGGACTTGGTACATTACCAGGTATGAAGAAAAACTGGGTTTCGAAGAATGCCTTAGTGATATATGGTGACAAGAATTTCCATTTCTAAAGAAAAGCTGGTTGGAAGATATTCTTGATGTGGTCTCATCGGAAACCGAAGGAGGATTGCCTCGTGGGGAAGAATGTTGACTTGTGCGAAGAAGTCCTCGTCTCACCGTTGCAATCGGTCACCTTTTCTCTTGGTTGAGTATATTTTTGCTCAATTTCGTTAAGAATAGATTCCTGCTCTGATGATGTCTGTCACAGTACAGTTTCATCTGAGTCGCAGAACGATGAGGCGAGGACTTCTTCGTACGATATAGCAGTCTCACCTACGCAACAATCCTCCTTCGGCTTCGGGGGAGACCACATGACGAATTCTTTCCAACCAACTTTCTCTTCAAAATTGAAAGTCATGTCATGAGTTTTGCCAAACCCAGCACCAGCTACATCTAAAACACTTCTAAAACACGGCATTGCCTAGTTCTGATTAGGTCGCAGTGAATGATCCGATGAATACATTTAATTTGTAATGTCACAAATGCCACTGGCATATCCCTTCTCACTTTGAGTCATACAATTGCTCACCGAATAAGAAATATCAATTAGCCGATTTCTCAAAATGTTTGATTTTTTCTTGAGGAAGGACGAAGAAGAGGGTATCATTGAGTGATACCACTTAATGAGGGTACTAAGCAATCATAGTTCAGCAACATGATTGAAGCAAGCCGACAGGACAGGATTGAGTAAGAGCCCCTCCTTTAAGGCAGGCCGATACATCAACAAGTTGGCTCGCTGTTGCCTAGTCAGTTATGTAATGCCGATTCGGTTTGTCTCTCCTCCTCATCTTCGCCGCCAGGATATTCCGGTTTTGCCCAAAGAGACCAGGCGACCAAGACTTAATCAGTTGGCATCTGCTGGCATTGCATATTCACCCATGTTTACAAACAATTTCAGCTCATTGTTCGCAGCTCAAGAGAGAGCAGGCCTAGGTACAGAGGAGAGACGATTTGGGCCGACTGACCTGTTAGTGGGTGCAGATACCATTTATACAATCACTCCATCCCACGGGGCGGAGATGTGGAGATAATGCTAGATGACTTGTTACTGGGACTCGAGTGAACTGGGCACATCGGGGGCTTGGTGACATGACAGACCAATAAAACCAACCAGAAGACGCATTTAGTCGCAGTCACAAGAAGACAGGTTAAGATGAGGATTTTACAACCGGAAAGTTTGGTGGCAGACTAGGGCCAATTAGGAGGGAAGTATTGCCAGGACATACGCCCAGGAGAGCTTGGTTACAATGAGAGATAACTTGTGTAATTCGTTGTCTTTTCCACTAGTTTTGATGTTAGTGGTGTTGTCATGCTGTTGATGGACCTAGAATGCTGCCAAGGCGAATGAATACTGGAATAGCTCTGACATATTTGTCCTTCGATAGAGTGCAATAAAGAGTTCCATAGGCCCATCTCACCAGATAAATATGTCTTATGCCCTGATCAGAACCGGGAGCGTCAGGCTGATGCAGTCCTTGAGACATACTGCTTCGGTTCAGCTTTTTTCTTCAAGGCTCGACTCTTTCCTGTCTGTAAGATATGCCCCAAATGTAAGGAATTTTGAGAGGTTCTTCATAAATGTCTATGCGTATTGACGATTGTTTGTGCATTTCTGTTTGTCTGTATATGGATGTATGCATGTGTAAATATAGCTCAGGGACGTAACATGTCCTACTTAATCGAGATCTAATGACAATTTATTTTGTTGGAATGATGAGAAACTGGATTTCGAGGATTCTCCTAAGATAAATAAAAGTCTCCACAACAATTTTTTTGGCTTGATACAAGCAAACACTTCGCAATGTTTGTGTAATAGTGGACGTGTGTTTGAGTGAGTTGATTGACTTCATGTGTGAATCAAGACGCCTATTAAAGTGCGAATATGATACGTTTTCTTAGGTATTTCCCTAATTTCGAAATCCTTAAGTTTACCAATCAAGCACAAGTAATGGTAAATATATATAAGTAGAGGTATAAATGTAAGGTCATGACAGTTGAAAGTTGACATCCAGGCCTGGATAAAAATTTAAAGTGAATCAGCTTTTAGTTCAAAGGTAAGGATAGATAGAAGACCGAATAAGGATTGAGTTGGAGTGGAGACTGTTGAATTGTGCCAAGATATACTCTATTGTTGAGACTTGCATTTAGTATGAAAGTGTAAAAAGAAGAGATTCGAAGGTCGATCTCACGAGAAGAGGACGGCTGAATTCTGTTGTACTGCAGCCGTTTGGCTTTTATACAACGTTAGATTGACGCAATCCACGAGACCTCCTCACTCTTTCAGGTGAAAATGGGCTAAGCTTTCGTCCATCATATGATGGACATCATTACCATTCTTGTAAAACTCTCAAGTTAATACTAAGACAAAAATACTATCCAGCTCTACCTTACCTCTTATATACTATCCTTTAAGCAAAAAAAAATTAAGAAAACATATATCGATAAAAAATGGTTTCGTGTATTATCTTTATTCTGGTCACCTCCTTTTGGATGGCGGTTCAACACCTTGTATCCACAATTTCAATATATCAATCAAGAATAAGAAGTTCCTACTCAACTGTCTACCACCATTTCTCACATTCAACGTATTACCTTAACCATTAATTTCAATAGAAATTATTAGCGAACCTACTAGTTTGAGACCATTCTATTTAATGTCCACTTTCTACCATGTGTTCGGCCCCTTTTGACCGTTGGACCCAGCTTCCTTTACAAGCATTTTTGTGTTCTCCTAATCTTTGTCGGCATGTCTCACCAACATAATATCGACCACATGAGCAAAAAATCTTATAGCAGCCGGATCTCGACAATCTTTCATATTTCTCTCTAAAAGATGGAATTGCAGAAGAAAGTGTAATCCTGACTAATTCGCACATCTTTTTTGAAGTAAAGCCTGACGGCAAAATTTGGACACGGGAAAAAGTCTCAGCGTGTCTATCTTTGACTAAGTGGTCTCCGTCTGAAAATTTATTCCTCAGTAAAGAGATATTATTCTCATTAAGCGCCAAAGGATAACTATTTTCCACGAATAAATTTGTCGGCCGTTCCAACTCTTTAGTCAAATGTTTGCTATCCGCTAGCCTCATACTTCTAAGAATCATTGACTTCAAAATTCCAATCTTAATTTCATAACCATGGTTGGAAGGAAAATTAATCAAAAAGCCGGCTTACTGTCCAACGACCCGAAGAACCTGTGCTGACCTTTTGTATGTCTTCCCACGACAGACCTGCTCAGAGCGAGAGATCATTATTTACAAAATAAATTGTTAAAAATCGAGTAATTAGCTCATTGTATTTGTTGCATTTTTCGGTAAATGGTGCTTTCTCACTCTGGCGATATCTGTCAGGGAAGGACAAACAAAAGCTCAGCACGTGTTCATCTAGTTTGAAGAGCTGAGAGTTGAGGAGTACTTGGTACAACTAAAGGTTTGGTCAACTCCCGATTCCATTCAATCTAACTACTAACGTTAACTTATGAGGGCAGTCTCGAAAATCTGCTTTCCGTCTATAGTATAACTGATAAATATTGCTGAATAATAACTTTGAGTCATTCTAATTGCTGACCCTATCACTACACACACACACACACACACACGAAAGCAACGCATACACATACACACATACACAAATACGCTCATATACGGAAATTAGTTTTGCAAGAATAAGTTCATAGTCGCATTTCTCCCGTTACGGAAATTCATGGGTGTCCAGCGGGGAGGTAGCATGTTTCCAGGCTATGCAAGACTCAGGATGAAAGCTCGTTGGGATTGCTGATTAAGCCAATGGTCCAAATTGCCGTCAAGTCCAGAGAAGAAAACCCTTTGGGAAGCATTGTTAAGTGAAATTGAATGGAAGAGTGAGTCCTACTCATACCATTGTGGAAGAGAGTCCATTATCCGTTTTACAACACCAAGTTGGCCAATTTTATATTCCAGAATAACCGATTACCTCGAACATAGTCACAATGGATGAGCTAAGTGTAATGGGGAAGGCTAGCTAGATTGCTTGCGATCAAATGGAGAGAAAACTTGATTTCTGCTACAAATTTCACTGCGCCATTCATAAAAATGGCTATTCTCACCCAGTCCAGATATCAGTCACAGCCTCGCCTCTTTGCCACATCAGCACTCCACACAGGACACGAATCATGCAAGCAGCCACATAAGCGGCCATTCCAATTCGGGGACTTTTCATTGCTATTTATCATATGATATGATTTATTATATGCTATGATATGGATATGTTTATTTATTTATTTTATGGTATGATTTACCGTATTTCCCCATGTATAAGCACCCCCTT